GTGCTGCTTGTTTTCTTCTAAAAAGAGACACTTGCAGGATAGCCTAACTGATCCATACCATGCTGGAGAAGGGTGCTTCTGTATCTAGGCTTTGGCTTGGTATCACCAGGTAAAACTTTGTCATACTAATTGCTCACAAAATTCCTTACTCACCCATCAGGCCTTCTTAAGTGGCTCAAGAACCAAAGCCTTGCTGCTGTAAGTATCTGAGGCTGAATCAGGTGTGTAGGCCATTTGTGCCTGAACCAACTCGTAAGAAAGCAGAGTCTTCCAGAAAACTTGTAGGAAATGATAGTGAGACTTCCCAATGGCACCATCCTCTTTCATTTTATAGTCTACTTCCTTTGGAATACTTGGTAAATTTTAGTTGAAAATAAAGAACAGGAGAATAGAACTATTTATTTTAACAAATACTGGCTGCTACTAACAACTCGGGTGGTGTCAGCCCAGCAACGGGATGGTGTTTAAAATGCCTTATCAACACTTCATGGGGCTCAAAACGACATTGCCACCCTAAGGACATCTGTGCTTATTCCGAAATGGCCTCAGATGCAGCTGTTGTGTGGCTACACACCCGTTGTCCGGAGTTTCATTATTTCCATGCCAAGTCTTTAGCTGTGGAACCAACCTAACTGGGAGAACAGGAATGTAACAAATGAGCCCTGTGATATGAGTCATATTAACTATTTATATGGAAGAGCTTGCTAAGACAGGAAGCGCATGCATAAGGTATCCTGCTGGGACACGTCTTATTGAATTAGGTAGACATATGTAATGTGTAGTCAACAACCTGCCCTCAGATATGCGGTTCTAAATTTCAGATTATAATCAAATCAAACTTTAAAAACTGTCTTGGCTTTAGAGTGACTCTAACAGTGCTGCTAGAGTTAAAAAAACAGCAGATAAAAGCCTGAGCAGTTGAGGAAGATACATTTCCCTCCTAGAGGAGCTGCTAGCTTTGTTCTCTCTTGGGAAAAAAAGGAGTTTTACTTTTCAACTTAACTCCTCAGGGGACATTCATTGTATCTTTAGCCAGATTTAGTTATCATCATGAAAAAGGAACCAATCAGTGAGGTCCATCTTTGTTGTTTTAACAAACTCTACCGTATTAGAAGATATTAGACTTGGAAAAGACAAGGAGCAAGCTTTCTAAGCATAATTCACTTGAGCGATTTCTGACAGTGTTTACTAATCGGGTTGTCTCTTAAGGACTGGCATGACCTATTAATGCATTGAATATAAGGCAGACTTGTGCAAAACTGTTCACTCCGCTAGATGTGAAATAACAATGTAAATTATGTTGATTTCCTTTAGAGAGCATCAGACAGCTCCACTCAGTGATTCAACAGTATAAACTGATCCCCTCCTATGTATCAGGCTAAGTACTCAGGATCCGAAAATGAGAAAGACATAGTCCCTGCCCTCAGTAGGTTTACAGTTTAGATGTGTGTCTGGTGGGAGGCAGACACATAGGCAGACAATTATAAGACACTCTGCTAAGTGCGGTATTATTAAAACACTGAGAGCTGAAGCTCAGTGAAAACCTGCTGTTTCTAACTGAATGCCACTGTTTAATTTTAAGCAGCTAAAAACCCATTTTACTTATACCAGTTGTCTCTTTGTAAGAAAACTGACTCACAGAGTGTTTGACTCATGTTTCAGCTGTCTGTGACCCTTATCCTCCTGTGCCTTGATTGTGTCTGAAGGTTTCTGCAGAGCAGGGACCCCTCAGGCCAAGGCTCACTCACGGTCTCACCCTAGGGTGTGTGCAACTCTCCTGGAGGTTGCATACACCCTAGGGTATCGTTGTCATTTTATCTTGCCTTGAAGTGATCCTCACTAAAGAAGAGGGTTTAGGGTAAGTCAGGTTTTTTAATAAAGCAGCATTTTCCTCCTACTTTCTTCTGTAGCAGGGGTTGACAAACTTTCTCTGTAAAGGGCCAGATAGTAAATATTTTAGGCTTTACAGACCATACATTCCCTGTTGCACCTACTCAACTCTGCCATCCTAACAGGAAAGCAGCCCCAGACAACACATAAACAAATGGGCGTGGCTGTGTTCCAATAAAACTTTATTTACAAAGCCAGGGGGTGGGCCAGATTTGGCCCTCAGGCCATAGTTTGCCATAAGCAACGTTGTTTTGCTTATGAGAGTTTAAAATTTATTGAAGGGTGAGCTGTAAGGAGTAATGAACATTACGCTTGGGATCAGGAAACCGGTGTCAAGACCTGGATCCTCCACTGCAGCTTTCGTTTGATACAAGTCAGTGATTTCCTTCAGCCCCAGTCTTCTCAATGAAATGAGGGGATGGGCGAAATGACTGCTCAGATACTATTGATGGCATTCTCTGTTTCTGAAGAGACACAGGGGTCTGAAATTCACCATCGATAGGAAATTTAGAGCTGTTTTGCATCCACAGGGATCCAGGTAGACTGGAATCATGAACTCAGTCTCACAAAGTGAAATTTAGTAGGAAAAGTATAACGTCTAGTACTTAGGTTTTAAAAAGGTACAGTGAGGGGCTTCCCTGGTGGCGCAGTGGTTGAGAGTCCGCCTGCTGATGCAGGGGACACAGGTTCGTGCCCCGGTCCAGGAAGATCCCACATGCCGCAGAGCGGCTGGGCCCGTGAGCCATGGCCGCTGAACCTGTGCGTCCGGAGCCTGTGCTCCGCAACGGGTGAGAGGCCCGCGTACCGCAAAAAAACAAAACAAAACAAAAAAGATACAGTGAACGTGCAGACAGTATGGGAGAGTCCTAGGTTAAAGAAGCATAGGTGAAAGGTTTGAGCTGATGACTAGTTTATGATGAGTCAACAGAGTCAAGTGACTGCCCCACAAGGCAGAGTGACATTAAGCTGCATTAGTGGGGAAAAGTTCCAGGAAAAGAGGTCAAGAGCCCTTTCTAAGTTTTTGTTAACGAGACCACACCTTGAGTGTTGTGATCAGCATAGACACCACCCCTTAGGTCAGACTTTGACACCTGGAGCGTGTCCAGAGCAGAGGACCAGTGTGGTGAGGGAATTCCCTACCCTGCATTGAGAGGAGGTTGAAAGAAGTGTCTGTGTTCATGAGTGAGGAGGGGGCAGGGACCAAGGATTATGGAAACTGCTGAACTTAGAGTTCTTGTAGAAAATGACTTTTGAAAAAAAATTTACATCTCTAGCATCTAGATTAATACCCAAAGCATAATAGGCACTCAAATATTTGTTGAAAGAAAACCTCTGAGTATGTGAAGAACGTTCAAGTGGAAAAAGTATTCTACTTGTTCTTGGTGGCGTCAGAGACCGCAACGAGGACAGTGGAAGGAAGCCACGAGACACTGCCTTGGTCTCGGCACCAAGAGGGGTAGCCTGCGTCACTGTACCTGGCAGGCAGCCGGTGGGCTGCTTTGGGAGCCCCCCCCAGGGTGATCTGAGCATAGTCCCATGGTTCCTGGTAGCCACAGTATATTCAGCTGCCCCAGAAGGCAGTTCTGTCATGTCACCTTAAGGCCTCTCTGGCCTTGAGAGTCTGCTGTGTTTGCATTTTTCTGTACACATAGGTTTCTTGTCAGTCTACACTCATATCTCCCAAAGTGCAGTGTGGACTGGTGAGGTGTGAAATGACTGTAGCTATTACATAGACTGACATTTTTTATTTTAATGTTTATGTGTTTCTTTTAATGTGTATTAGAAAAGATATAAAGCTAGCACATCATAATTCCATCAATATTGTGTAAGACAAGGCTACATTGGAAAAGCAAGTAAAGCTAGAAATATTAAGGAAATGGCAGTGCGTATATCGCAAAAATTGAGAAGGTAGTTAGGTGGATAGCTGAGGTCTGTTCTAAGTAAATTCTATTAAACTCTTGTCTAAGACATACAAAAGCCATTTCAGTTTTCTTACTAGTATTCCAACTCCCTCTTCTACCTATAATAGGATGCTTTTCTCTATCACACAATCCCACCACCACCCAAGACTCAGATGATTTCTTTGTCATTAAAAAAAAAAAACAAAAAACAGTAATGCCCACTGGAGGAAATTCCATAAGAGGAAAAAAAATAGAGTGAACAAAGGAAGTCTTATAAAATCCCACCACTCCAACTTATCTGTAGCTTTCATTCCCCCTTCAGAATTCCTTCCTGTCTTTGAACCCTTGTGTAAACTTTTTATCATAGGGTAGATGTACTTTACATTTTTCATTTTAAATTGAGCATATCGAATTGCTTTATTGCAAACTCCTCTTTGCTGTGTTTTTTGCTCTCAGCATTTTTGGCCACTTGTCATTCCTCAAACCTCACACAATAATTTCTCAAAATTTACTTTGACCCTGATGTCTTTGTAAGTAAAATGGAATTTACACTGTAGTTCAGGCGCTGGAGTTTCAGCCTCTTCTCCAAATACCTTACCGAGGAAGCTTTAGACACCCTCACTTTTCTTGTTTATAGTTTTCCATGGCATTTTATAATTTAAAGTTTTCACGTGAACCCTATCATTCCATCTTTTGCCTCTGATCTCCCTAGGAGGCCTTGTATCTGTAATATCCTCTCACCAATCCACTAAAGTCTCTTTCCTTCCCATTTAAAAGTGTTTCAGAAATCCATGAGGACTCCATGTCCCATGGATGTATGTAGCTGATGCCCTCTGGTTTAACCTGCTTAAATAAAGCATTCCCACTGTACTCTCTCTCCCCATAACCTGGCTCTGGGCATTTCAATTTACCTTTTTCTGCATATTTATACAATCAAATTATTAGCATACTGCCTATCTCATCCATTATCTGATATGTAGCTTTAGTTTTAGATATGCTCCATATAAATGTCCATTACGTTATTTTGGGTCAAAACATGTTTGAGATCAGTAATCATGATCATTCAACATCCAGTGTTTTGGACAATCCTGGTATGTGGATAATTAGACTTCTAAGGAGTGTTCTGTAGAGAGTTGAGCACTGTAGAAAATGTGCCTAATAAGTAGAAAAAAATAATAACTGGTTGTTCTTTTTGTGAATTTTTTAAAGGCTGGATTACAGTGGACCTTCCAGAGAGTTTTTCTTCCTGGTATCCAGAGAACTCTTTAACCCATATTATGGCTTATTTGAATATTCAGCCAATGACACATACACAGTACAAATAAGTCCCATGTCTGCTTTTGTAGACAATCACCATGAATGGTAAGTATTTTTTTTCTCCAACGCTTTTCTTCAGCTGATTTTCTGTGATATTAGTTTTTATAGGAACCCACACTTCTTTTTTAAACATTTTTTCCCTTGGAGAAAATCATATTTTCAGTTAACTATCTCATTTGACTCTTGTTTGTGTTGTCAAATTTAATATACAGGCAGTCTCCAAGCTAGGAATAGATTATGTTCCATAAGACCAATTTTAAGTGAGTTGGGTAGAATTCAAAAGGTTTTTTCCACCGAAGGAAAGTTGCGGGTGATGTTAGGTTCCCAGCAAGACCCTAAATCCCTCTCTGCAGCTTTGGGCCACTCTGAGATCTGACGGGGGCAGGTGGGGGGTGAGTAGGGGAATGTCCTGACCCAGAGGTCAGGCAGCTTCTGGAGCAGCCCTTGGGGAAGTGGCTAACACTGGGGGAGGGGCAGAGCAGCTGGGCTGTTGGTGTTCTAGGGAGAGGGAGGGCGGGAGGATGGGGTGTCCTGGAGGAACGGAAGGTGGAAGAGAATGCTGGCAGGCAGGCAGGCAGGAGTGCGGAGTCACAGCAGTGGCCCCTTACCCTAGTGACTGGTTCAAGTTTGTAGCCAGGAATTGCCCCTTTCCTAATTTCTCACACAAAACCAAGGAAAACTGGGCTAGGATTCCCATCTGGGAATTATTTATTCTGAAAATCCTGAATTGCACTCTTTTCATGACATTTATTTTTACATGCCTGCATTTATAGACTTGAAGTATCTTTATAACCCCTGTTTGCTTGTTCCTGTTCATTTTCACTATAGTAACAAAAAAGAGAACATGAGTACGACTCATGGAAACAATTTCTTTGAGTCATGAGGTTAATATTGGTGGGTGGAGGGCATTAAGTTTTAGGACTTACTCTTCAAATTAACTTCCATTTAACTACAATTTGGAGTCCTCCTAAGAGTAGCTATGGCAGTTATACTAACATAAGTGGATAAAGAAAAACAAAGCTGCTGGACATTCATCTTAAAATGGTTGCCTAACACTAAAATTACAAATGAATAGTATGAACCTCAGTGTGGATTTACACTTTCGGAAGGCATCAGGCTTTCAAAGAGCTAGAAACTTGAATACTTCCGAAAAAGAAAATACATGTACATCTCAGCAAACCCAGTCGTGACAGATATATTTAATAAATTTTCCGAAGTGATTCAGTATAGAATTGAGCACTCAAATTTTGAAGAACAGAATGTCCCATGAGGAAACTCCCTCAAATGTACACATGCATAATTCTTGGATTGTGAGTTATCTTCAAGAGAGGGGTTTGAGAGAGAACAGAAATAGGAACTTTCTCACTCTGAGACTGGGCTTTTCCTCAAAAGGGAATTGCCACTAGGTTTGCATTAGATAAATCCTGCTAATATTCATGCAAGCAAACTACAAGGGGACAACATTTTCCCCACCACCACTGGTCTCATTCTGTCAACATTTCTTAGAAGTGATGTAGGGAAATTTCACTGCCATGCTAACAGGAAATTCATGTTGGCCATGTAGGGTGCTACATGGTGGACATTACTGACACGGGGTGAAAGTGGAGCAGTATCTCTCTGAACATCAGAGTGAAACAGATTTCTTCTACAAGGAGATGTGACTATCAGCCTGATGAGGACCCAGCCTGCAGTGCACACAGACTCTCATGGACAAACTTAGATGATTAGAGCTGGAAAGCATTCTTGAGAGCCAATTGAACCGTTCAGAAACTGCTCCATGGGGCTTCCCTGGTGGCGCAGTGGTTGAGAATCCGCCTGCCGATGCAGGGGACACGGGTTCGTGCCCTGGTCCGGGAAGATCCCATGTGCCGCGGAGCGGCTGGGCCCGTGAGCCATGGCTGCTGAGCCTGCGCGTCCGGAGCCTGTGCTCCGCAGCGGGAGAGGCCACGACAGTAGAGGCCCCGCGACCCAAAAAAAAAAAAAAAAAAAAAACAGAAGGAAAGAAATTGCTCCATGATGTGTAAGCCATCTCCTGCTTTTCCTTCACAGGTTCCGGTTCAGTGGTAGGATCCTTGGTCTTGCACTAATTCACCAGTATTTGTTGGATGCCTTCTTCACACGGCCCTTTTATAAGGCTCTTCTCAGAATGTAAGAGTGTTTTTATTGCTTATGTAATTAGCATGTAAAGAATGTAATATTTCCTTTATCAAAAAGGGTCTTTTGACAATGTCATTTATCGGCTCACTATCTCAAATCTATTACTTAATAGTGATTTAGATTTCTGAAACTAATCAACTAATATAATTTCAAATGTGGTTACTGGATTTTTCCAGCTTCTGTTCCTTTATTCCTGTCTTGCTCCCAAAGGCTTAGTTTTGCTCCACTCTGAATAATTCATCCTCATTTGTTGCTACACATGTGTCTTCAAAACACTTGTACTTCAAATACAGTGCTGGAATTCCTGTGGTATTAATGCCGGTTATTAATAGAATAGTTGTGGCTTAGTCTTGGTGACTCACAGCCCCCCATCTTTCACAAAATGCATTTTACATTTTGCTTTATGCAAACTTTCAACTGTTTATTCTTGGTTCATATTTTCATTCTCTTTTTTTTTAATTTGTTTGTTTGTTAGAGGTGTGCAGTATTTTTTAAGTCCCATATTTATCTTGAGATCTCTCTATATGCAAGACAGTCATTTACGATGGCAGATGAAAATTTAGCATTCACAGAATTTTTTCTTCATTGTTAGCAGAATGAAAGATTGCAATTATTGTGAAATGTAGAGCAAACCGTTTCTGTCCTAGAATCAGTAGTCATTTTCAAGGATGAACAGAAGAAGGCAACTATCTGTGAGGGTAGTAGCTCAAACTTGCAATGATAAAACACAGAATGATTGCATGGCTCTGACCAGCTCATTCCTTAACCAAGGCCATGTATCTGCTTTCTGTCAAAATGGAAGCCTAGAGCTCAATTGAAAGCAAAGTATTTCTAATAGTTCTTAAAGAGGGTCAGTAGGAAGACCTTTGCCATCCTCCCTTTTGGTATATGGACCGATGAAGTCCTGGGCACCTGGACACTGGCTTCTGCCTCTCTGGTTCTTCTGGCCCATTTGCACCTTCCCATTTCATTGCCTTATCTCTCATTTTCCATTTAAGCTTCCTGAAAGAGTAGTCTACACTGACTGTTGACACACCCTCAACACATTTTAGCCTGGCTTTTTTTCCCACCAATAACCTATGGAAGCTTTTAAAGAATGTTTTTTAGTCTTTATCTTAATAGACCATTCTGCTGCTTTTGATACTGTTGACCCCTCCCTACCCCACCACCCATTTCTCTTGCGTTCTTCCTTCACTGGCCTGTGTGACACTGTGCTCTCCTGGTTCTCCTTTCACTTTTATGCCTTCTTTGTGGATGTCCTGACTTGCCCTTAAACCTCGATGTTCCTGAAGCTTCCATTCTTGTCCCCTTGCTTTCCTCTCTCTGTGTGCTCTCATGGGGTATCTCTTTACCTGTCTCATCTACTCTCCAATCCGCACCCACAGACATGATCTCCCTTGAGTCGTAGGCTCAAGCGGTCAACATTCCACTGAATATCTCCTCTTGTATGTCTCACAGGCACCTCAGAATCAACATGGTTAAAACTAGACTCATCAATTTCTCCTGACCTAAAAATGTACCTTCTCCCTTATATGCCCAGTCACAGATCAAGGTGCCAACATTCTCAAGTCACTCTGGTCAGAAATTGGGCGTCATCCTCAAACAGGGATGGTGAATACACAGCACAATTTCTTCTCTTCCCCACCTCCCACCCCATTCCCATGGTACAGGTCACAAATCATTTAGGTACTTTTTCCTGCTGAACTCGTTGTGGCCTCAGGAATTTTTCAACTTTTGGCCCTCAAGACTGCCAATGAATCAGAGTTGTCTTGTAACTTGAGTTCATTTGCCATCCTGTTTTAGATATACTTCTTTATACTACCCAGTAAAACCATTTATTAATTTCCACATTCACCTCCTAAATAATTCTTAAATTCATCTTCTCTACCCTAATAGCTGTGCCCTAATTAAAATCCTTATCTTATTTTGGCCAGATTACTGTAGTGATCTATTAATTGGTTTCCACCCAATGATTACCACCACCACCCCCAATTTTAACTAATCCTCAACACTGCCACTTCCAGAAGAACAATTTAAAGTCACATCTCATGTCTCACCATGTCATTCCCTGTTTTAAAACCTTTCAGTAGTTCTGAATCACCAAGCTCCTTAGAATGACGTTCAGACCTGCTCCCAGCTACCATCTTACAACAGGGTCATATAATAGTAACTCCACCTCATGTAGATCTTCTCTTAGAAAACCATTATAATTGTAGAGCAATTCTGTAGCTTTCAGTTTTCAGAATCACAGAAAGAATAAGAACCATGAAGAAAAAAAGGACATATGTGAATGTGGATCACAGAATCTAGTCTTTTAAAAAAAAGTTAAAATACAGTATAGAAACATATGAAGAATTTCTAATTAGGAGAATGATAATTTAAGATTGTATAACATAGCCAAAGAATACTGAACCCAAGTTGTCAACTCGAGTTCCATTTCCAGCTCTGGCATTAATTGTGGGTGACTGTGCAAATGGCAGCCACTCTTTGCACCTCCAGTTCTGTGTCTTAAAAGACAAAACAAACTGAGTGATTCCTAAGGCATTTTATATATCAGAATTTTTCAATTTTATGTCAAATTTCTGAATTATTTCACTGGTTTGGTTACTAACTTTGACGAAGAACATTCCAGAAATCACTGCCTATTTTAGTTGATCTTGTTCTTGTCATTATTTCTTAGTTTCTTTCCTCACAACTCTGGGTTTTTGCTGATAGCCATGACTACATTTTTTTTTTTTCTGTTTATCATCTTAGTCTCTGTGACCTGAGTGATCTAGAATACCTTGATGAAGAATTTCACCAGAGCCTGCAGTGGATGAAAGACAATGACATCCATGACATCCTGGACCTCACGTTCACTGTGAACGAAGAAGTTTTTGGGCAGGTCTGTGTGTGTGAATAACTGGTGACTAAGTGTGGTAATTGAAGGCTATTGGTTGGTGAAGGATTAATTCAGTGGCCTAAGATCAGATGCTTATTTATTTGTGGTTGGTTGGGTGGTTTAAACCCAGGTTTATGTACAGTTACAATATTCTTGGTTATAAAGGTTATTCTAATGCCGACTTCAGATTAAAATTTTCTAATTTATAGACTGCACTATTTGTATGTCGTAAACAATCTTTTTATTTCCAACTAAAATACCCTCATAAGATATTAGAATGTGCCTTGTACCAAATACAGTTTTTAAATATCCATGCTACCCCAGAGTTGAATATTAAATTATTTAATTGGCCCTTGTACTTAACTCTCATTCATGTTTAACAACTGAAATGGATTGTTTTGAAGCTGAGGGAAAGTAAACAATATTTTGGTGAAGGTTTGGAAACATTGTTTTTTTAAAAAGTTGGTAGAAGAGTTGGTCAAAAGATTTTCAGAAATTATATGCTAGTTCATAATTAATATTCTTAGTTAAACATTAATACTTGGCTGGTCTCCTGAATTTCGTATTTTGGAAAAGAAGTTCTCAGTTTAACATTCGCTTGAATGTAATTCTGCTTCCTTAAGGTAAACGTTTACCTAAATATTGGCTTTCTATATGTAGTTGATTGTGAATCCTAAAGGAATTTGTGAAAATGTCTTTTTGTCAAACATTCAAATAGCAGTGGGACAGAATCTGGAGCCCTTTTGTTTCCATTTAAAAGACTTATTTGTTTAATCAGGATTTAAAGCTTAACCTTGCAACACATATATATATATTTTTTGCAATATGCGGGCCTCTCACTGTTGTGGCCTCTCCCGTTGCAGAGCACAGGCTCCGGATGCGCAGGCTCAGCGGCCATGGCTCATGGGCCCAGCCGCTCCGTGGCATGTGGGATCTTCCCGGACCGGGATACGAACCCGCGTCCCCTGCATCAGCAGGCAGACTCTCAACCACTGCGCCACCAGGGAAGCCCCGCAACACATATATTTTTAACCACTGGGGCTCTCAGACGTCTGCTCATTACTTAGCTTTCCCTGAGCATCAGTGGGTGCCTGGGCTCTGTGCTGGTGCCACACACCCTGCTTGTGGGATGTACCCAGGCCAGGGCAGAGACAGGTAGCTGGCTGATTCCAGCTCATTGGTAGCAGTGGTCTTACAACATCAAGAGTATTGCTTTATGGTCAGTCCTTTTGTTTTTTAATCGCAGATTACCGAACGAGAATTAAAACCAGGGGGTGCTAACATCCCAGTCACCGAGAAGAATAAGAAGGAGTACATCGAGAGGATGGTGAAATGGAGGATTGAGAGGGGTGTTGTGCAGCAAACAGAGAGCTTAGTGCGTGGCTTTTATGAGGTAAAGACAATCAGCAGGAGTGGGGTTCTCAGTCTGATGTCAGCAATACCTTGGTCCACTTCACTGTACTTCATATGTGTGCAATATTTCCATTTCTCTTTGGTATATTTACCGTTGCTATTTCAGTTCAAACACTTCAACAATTTTTCCTGTATGTTTTAAGAACACAAAAAAAAGCTTATTGCCCTGTTACAAGAAAACACTGAAATAAAATGACCTGCATTCAAATAGCATTTGACGATTTAATGACCACTAATAACATTTAAGTCACGCATTTTACTCATGCTCAGATATGTGTAATCAAATCTCATGCCTGATAAGTGAAATGATTGTATCTGAGGGTCAGAATGAATTGTAACAAGTATTCCATATGACTTCTTCTGTGAAAAAGCCATAGCTAAAATAAAAATAAACTGTGAAAGTGACTGGAGCACTAGATCTTCTCCCAAAGAGAAAAAAAACTGGATTAATCAGTGACCAATTATAAAACAAAAATTCTGTTGAAAACCTCATCAACCTTGTACTAAAAATATATTTGTAGAGAGCTTTGCATGTTTTAAAGTGCCTCCACAGAATACATCCATAGTATTCCCAACACTCCCTGTGCCCTCCTTTTCTGATGAGGCTTAATTATAGCTGAGGCTTCTCCAGGTTCTTAAGCCATGTCCTATATTCTTTTTATTCCACAGGTGGTGGATGCCAGGCTGGTATCTGTTTTTGATGCGAGAGAGCTAGAACTGGTCATCGCAGGCACAGCTGAAATAGACCTAAGTGATTGGAGGAACAACACAGAATATAGAGGAGGTGAAATTTGACTTATAGATGGCTGGATTTAAAGTTTCAGATTAGAGGGAAGCAAGCGGTTTGGCACGTTGGCCTGGATCCAGGACAGACAGAGGCACTTGCGCTCTAATCATAGGTCTGATGCAGTCTCCTTTGAGACCTTGGGCAAGGTACATGCCCTTCTTTCCCTAGCTACCTCATCTGTCAAGTGGAAGGAGAGCTGTTTACACACCAGCTAAGGATGTCACAACTCTTAATTGTTAGTGAAGAAATGTGGCCATAGGAACATCAATTAATGGTTTTACGGTGTTGTTAGTGAAGCACCAGGGAGCTCATATCCAGCTGGTCAAACTCCACCTATTCTGCCTTCATTCTCAAACCTGAAGAGGCATACCCTCTGAGCTTCTTAATGAACAAACACAGTTTTTCTACATTTCACTTGAACTGCTTACCAGTTGTAATTCACAGTTGAAACACATGAATGGAGTAAGATATGGTTCTCAGATTTAAGGTTTCTTGAACAAGCCCTTCTAAAATTCAAGCATTAAGTTCAACTGAAAAGGAAACTGCTGTAAGGTTAGTTAAAAACTACACACGTCACCAAATGGGAAGTTTTAGGACTGGCATTTCTGTAGATCAATACAAATTTTCAATTAGTAACTGGCATCGAAGCCTGTGAAATTTGCTGAATCAAGACCCATGGAAAGGGACCTGATGCTAACCCAGAGTTAAAGTTTTATTCAATACTTTTAATCAAAGAAAGAATACATTTTCTGAAATTTATTGTAGTGTTATAAAGTGTTCAGAAAGTCGTGACAAATGACGGTTGGTTTTTGTTTTTGTTTTTGAACTCAGAATGTAAGAGGTTAGCAGTGGTTCTGAACTTGGAGAGTGAAGAATACAATCTTTAAGTCACTGAATTAATCAGTTAGACTAAAATGAGAGCTGAGCAGTTCTCCAATTATCTGTAAATTGAAACAGAGATTTAAAAAAAAACAACAATTAAAAAGTTTGGAGTACAAAAAATACCTTAACATTGGCTCAGTTGCTTTTGTTTTGGCCTCTGCTTGGCTCTTCCAGCCCATCACTGTTGCCCTGGGCTGGCCTTGCCCGTCCATTTTCTCTGAAAGACGATATTAAACTGCAGTGTCCATTGCTGCTATTTCTGAAGTCCAGTTGCTGTAATAACTCTTTTCCCATTGGCCCCGTGTATAATCCAAATATGACCTTGGCTATTATAACTTTGTTAACTATTTTCACTAACTAGAACACAGTTTCTCCAACATGCTACATAACTTACATCTTACCATAAATGCTATTAGCTCATTCCTTCCCCCCATCCCCAACCCCCAGGAGATTCTAATAGCAATGCCATTCATCAAGTCAGCCAGTTTTGTATTTACACAGTATAGACTTTTATTCACTGTATATGACTAATCGAGTACCTATTTCTATGGTTATTGTCAGTCTTATCAAATGAAATCCTTGAGAGGAGAGGGCTGGGGGGAGGGGGCAGGAAAATGGCGACATGCCCAGCTGCCATGTTTGCTAACCCAGCTACTTGGCACTGAATGAAGGGGCGGCTTTGCTGCCATTTGCCATATGTTCACAGGGCAGCTGTTTATAGAGAATAGGATGAGACATTTTCACTCCTCCTCCTTCTCCAAATGGTTTGGCACAGACAGCAAAGGAGAGGCATAAAAGGGCTGATTCAAAGGGTCAGAAAACTTTAAAGCTATAAAGAGCCAACGCACTTATTTTATAGATTAGAAAAGTATTTGCTCAGCACCAAACAGCTGGTCTTTGCCAAAGACAGGACAAGGAGCCTATGCATCTCCGTGTCCAGTCTAGTTGTATTTACGCTTCATTTGGATCCCTTTCTTCTCCAAGGGCATCGCTGATCAAATGGTAAACAGTAAGGCAAGATTCTCCCCAAATCCTACAGCCACGGAAACATGTGAGGAAAAATTTGAATGAAAATGGTTTCTACCTACCTTCTATTTAGGACTTAACTGCTGCTGACTCAGAATTAGAGTAGCTCTCTATACATTGAATATGTCAGCTAATTGGTTTGAATCACTAACTGTGCCTTAATCCTCGTCAGCCTTCTCTCTGAACTTAATTTTTCTCGGCAGAAGGCTTTAGAATCCACAGCTACTTCCTCAATCCACCTGTGGGATGACACTTTTGACATTTTATTAAATTCTAGTAAAGTATGGAATAAAAGTAACATTTAGGTTGATGATTATTTGAGATTTATTAGTTGAAGGAGTTAAAGTAATAAACTTATTTTCCCTTTTTATTAATAAAAAGTAATTTGCTTTTAAAATATGAACATAATATATAGTTTTAAAATGGTTTGCAATTATATATTGATTTGAATAATTATTTGATCTACGTCTCTCCTTTACCAAAAGCCCTGTGAGGGACTATTTCCTTTGCCATTGTCCCCCAAACTTAGGACACTGCTTGGCATAGCAGTGCTAGAAAATTATTTCTTAAATAAATGACCAAAAGGGTTAAACATTTCCAGTAACAGCAGTTATATTTTTCAGAAATGATATGGTTAAAATAACTCATTTGTTTTCTTCCCTCCGTTAGCTTCATTTAGTGACCACTAAATGGAAACAGAGGTTTCTTGGTTTCGTTTAGTGTTTTGTTTAACTTCTAACACTCATGTGATCACATTTACAGTGTAATTCCTTGGTCTTAAATTATAAATAACCTTTAACGAATCCAAGATGATGATTTATGTCTGGGGGTCTTTTGTCGACTTGCCAGTGTCATGGTGACTTAAGATAGAAAACTCAAAGTAACACGGGCTTTCATGATTGGTTTGATAGGATATCATGACAATCATATTGTAATTCGGTGGTTCTGGGCTGCAGTGGAAAGATTCAACAATGAACAACGACTAAGGTTGTTACAGGTAAGATGCCATTAGTTCATCTTTTTAATGCATTAATATAGTTATTTTTGGAATTACAAATTTTTAATAACTGCTAAGTATACTCAGTAAATATATTTAGGTTTATCTACATATTCCGGATATACTGTCTTCAGACTCTCCTGGCTGCGTGGGTCTGTGGTCCCATCACTATGCAGAACATCCCCAACCTAGTCCAAACATGTCATTAGAGTTGTGAGGAAGTACCAACTCCCATCCAAGAATCCCAGCAACAGCGTCTGCCTTTACAGCAGTTGGATCCCTTCCACAAGAGGTCCCTGGGTACTCTGCAGGCCAGCATCCCTGGCAACTGAAGGAGATAATCTTCAGTCCCTTAAGAAGTGACCCAGTTCCTTGATAAAGAGTCCTCTCTTTTCTTCCATCTAACGTTCCACAAATTTGAGATAATATTGAAGTTTAAGAATACTGGGAAAACTAACTCATTTTCTTGTGGTGTTTATAGTTATACAGGGCAATTGCTGGTTGGTTGCAGCTAAAGAAATATCAGACATGAGGAAGCCTTTTGGTCACTCAGGCAAAGCCTTACCAGTAGGCTGGATCTTGGCTCCTTTGAATCACAGATCTGGGTCTCACATTTGCAGGACTAGAAGTTCTTTTTGTTTTCCATTCACCTCAGTTCGATCAGGGACTAATACTAAGTTGACTTAGGTTCATCGATACGCCCACTTTATTAATCTCGAATGGGAAGTATACATGGTTTGAGCTTCTAAGCTGGTCAGCTGTACAGGACGCTGTATCTTCTACAAATCCTCCGTATCCCCTTTCTCTTTATAATGCTCTGTCCTTCCTTGGTATTCTCCAGCTCTTTGTCAGAATTCTCGTGTTACAGCTATTCTATGTCTATAAAGTTTTATCTTTTGAGCTTTTCCACCAGTGAGCAGCAGGCTGCTCTTCCCCAGCACCTCTGCACATGAACGATGCCAACCTTGCCTGGAGCCTGGTCTCTTGGCTTCACCTTCTCCTTCTGTTTTCTTGGGTTGATAGTTTGTTACAGGCACATCCAGCATTCCCTATGAAGGATTTGCTTCTCTCCGAGGGAGTAACGGCCCAAGAAGATTCTGTGTGGAGAAATGGGGGAAAATCACCGCTCTTCCCAGGTAAAGTAGAAAATATTTCTTTACTGTCACTACAGTGTTCTAGGTAGGACCTTTAGCTTATATATATATTGATTTATTACCATTTTTATGCTGAAAGTTTGGGAGAGTGGAAAAAACTTTTAGAATGAATTTACCTCAGATTACCTTTTTAAATGAAGGAAAAAAGGTCTTCCTGGTCATACTTGGAATACATACATACATATCTTTTTTTATTTTTATTGGAGTATAGTTGCTTTACAATATTGTGTTACTTTCTACTGTACAGCAAAGTGAATCAGCTATACGTATACATACATCCCCTCTTTTCTGGATTTCCTTCCCATTTAGGCCACCACAGAGTACTGAGTAGAGTTCCCTGTGCTATGCAGTAGATTCTCATTAGTTATCTATTTTATACATATTATCAATAACGTATATTCATACCTACATATCTTAAAATACAAAACGCAACAGAACCAAAGCACTTGTTAGCAATAGGAAAAGCAACGTTGGTCATCATACTTGTCGCTTCTTATGATTGTGGCTCTAATTTACGTTTCCAGAAGCTCTAATTTTAAGTTTATCATTGGTAACTATTCAGAATCCCTTCACTAAAAATGACCATTGTGGTTTCTAAGGAATATTAAATCATGCAATTGTGCTCTGTGCCTCTTCAGTCTCTATCATACATGCCTTACCTCCCTGGGAATGCTCTCTGCATTGTACTCTCATTTGTAATAAGATGATACATTTCCTTGGAGTGGAAAAATTTGCTTTTCTGCTGCTACTAATAAATGTAAGAGACTAGTAAGGCAGTCTTTGTGAGTAAAAAAAAAAAAGTGTTTTGTGGGGAATGGAGCAAACTGGAGCTGAAGCAAGGGAAAAGGAGGGAGCAAATGAACAAAAGAGGAGTAGAGAACAGTTGGTTTCAGAACTCCTTTATCTAGTCAGCAGTAATATATTGAATTTTTGAGGTAAAAAGGATTGCCTCTCATTTTACTAATAATGAAATTGCAATCTGGGGAGGTTAAATCTTCCCGAGTGATATTAGTTTCCTCAAGATGTTATCCTGAGTTTGTTTAAGTACAGTCAGCCCTGTGTATCCGCAGATTCAACCAACCACAGATTCAACCAATTACAGGTCAAAAATATTTTTTTAAAAAATTTATAGAGGGCTTCCCTGGTGGTGCAGTGGTTGAGAGTCCGCCTGCCGATGTAGGGGACACGGGTTCGTGACCCAGTCCTGGAAGATCCCACATGCCGCAGAGCGGCTGAGCCCATGAGCCATGGCTGCTGAGCCTGCGAGCCATGGCCGCTGAGCCTGCCTGTGCTCCGCAACGGGAGAGGCCCGCGTACGGGGGGTGTGGGGGGGTGTTCCAGAAAGTTCCAAAAAGCAAAACTTGAATTTTGCTATGTTATGGCAACTATTTACATACACTTACATTGTATTAGGTATTTCAAGCAATCTAGAGATGATTTAAAGTATACAGGAGGATGTGCATAAATTATATTCAAATAACATGCCATTTTATATTTGAGCATCCGAGATTTTGGTATTCCCTGAGGGAGCCCTGGAACCAATGCCCTGGGGATACCAAGGGACAACTTTACAAGTGACTTTGAGAAACCTGTTAACAAGACTGTCTTCTTAGCAATTGCACAACACTGGTTCTTAAGAATAACGTTCTAAGCATCAACATGTGAAAAAAAGCATGCTGAAAATACAGATACAGAGAGCAATGAATAGAGCAAGCTCAGGGCTGCCTGAGCCTCTTCAGTCGCTTTGGGTGCATCTCAGTCTGTGAACAGAGGTACTGCATCCAAACACCTAAGTAATTAGCTGGCTTACTTGGTGTTCCAAATGTAAGAGACTTTAATTTCATTATTTAAAGAAGTAGTTTATTTTGTTTATGTCTGAATCAGCTTTTTTCCCCTCAGACCAAATTTGCAACTCAAAAGCAGATTTACAGTATCTGAGTAGGACCTTTCACTTTTCTGAGAAACTCAAGGATTAGCATTAAAGAGGCAGGAAAGGACAGATGAATTGTGTTCTTTCTCTTGAAATCTGTTTTTGTAAAGACTTGCTTATGTAAAGTAGACGGAATAAACTGTAACAATAGGCAGATATATCAGCTGTTCATATTTAATCACTGTAATTTTCACCAAACCTGCCGAGCAGAGAAAGGCAATTTGGTATAAACAACAAACTTAAGCTTCAGAGAGACTGGACTCTATCCCAGTTCTGTTACTTGCCCACAGTGGGCTCTTGGAGATGTTGCCTAATTGTTCTGAGCCTCTGTTTCCTCATCTACCTTGTAGGTTAGTAATTCTGAAGATTAAAGGAAATCGTTCATATCAAACATTTACTACTGACCCTTGCCCTGAGTAAGCATCCAGTCGATGGTGGCTGCCATTATGATTTCTGTCACCATTGTCTGTAATATATGTCAGACTGTAGCATATTGGAAAGAGCACAGGGTTGGCAGTTAGACCCCCTGGGTTCTTGCCCACCTCTGCCACCAGCTAACTCTGGGACCTAGAAGATCACTTGATCTCTGGGCCTCCATTTCTCCATCTTTAAATGGCCAGGGAAGGGGTGGTATATTAGGTTTAGTGGAGCAATAAGTAGCACCAACAGGTTGCTGAAGAATCTTGGGGGTCGGGCCCTATTCACTTGTCTGCTTCCGCCTGGAGCTCCAGGAAGTTCGTGTGCTGAGTCATCATAAATGGTGGGTTTCTTCACATTGTTGCATACATACGGTTGAGCAACAGGCGTTGTTGTTTCTTCCTTTCTGCATTATGACCTAAGGCTCTAGGTTCTAGATTCCTAGCTCTACCTAGATTATAAAATAGCCATACATAAAGATGATATGAGGCACATTAGGCGAGCAGACCATTTTCATACCCTGTCTCTAACAAGCCCTGACTTTTTAGGTCCAGCAGGAAGAAAGAGCTACTTGGCTATTCTAATTCACAGTTCATCAATTTATAGAGCCTTGTTAGGAGGCATGAATACAGACCTAAGCCCTGTGATACACTAGCAATGTGATCCTAGGAGCCTAGATCCACCTCTGAAGAGTAGGAATAACGATGCCATGCTCAAAGAGTATTTGCAACAAGTGAGTGAGATAATGTGTATGAAAGTTCTTAGGGACAGTATGTTCTCTTTGTTCTTTTAAACCTTTTATTGTGAATCTTCTGTGAGCCACCATACTGCTGAAACTATTAAAATGTGCTCCACAAAAAAAGTACATTTGGAGGAAAAACACAAAAGGAGAACTTCAGTGCATGACCATATAGTTTTATCAGAAGTGATTTCTTTTTGTTTGTTTGGGTTTTTTTTGTTGTTGTTTGGGTTTTTTTTTTTTGCGGTACGCGGGCCTCCCACTGCTGTGGCCTCTCCCGCTGCAGAGCACAGGCTCCGGATGCGCAGGCTCAGCGGCTGTGGCTCACGGGCCCAGCCGCTCCGCGGCATGTGGGATCCTCCCAGACTGGGGCACGAACCTGCGTCCCCTGCATCGGCAGGCGGACTCTCAACCACTGCGCCACCAGGGAAGCCCAGAAGTGATTTCTTTACTGATAACGTTGTCATCACCCTTTATGAAATGTGGGGTGTTACTTAAGTGTGAAGAAGATCTGTAAGATTGGCTGTGGTCTAAAAAGATGGTTTTATATGACTGAGTCCATTTTTTCCCACCGTCAGAACAGATACACTGAAGCCATCTTTCCGGCTAGGTTTGAGTTGCAGAACTAAAGGACTGGTCTGTCTCAAGCTGGTCAACCCCAATGTATTTCTTTTTTCTTATTAGCGAGATGATGTTTAACATTTAAAATGTGACATTTGTACACACTGGAGACAAAATGGTTGAATGTTGTTCTTACTTAAAAAGTGTATTCCCTAAGAGGTCTGGCATCATCTCGTGTCAGGCATGGGAGGCTGTACCCTGGAGACTTGGAAGTGGCTATAAAGGATGAGGGCAGGTAGTACCCGCAGAAGGGAGGGCATCTTAGTCTTTCTAGAAACAGATGATTGAAGGCCTTTAAACCTTTCAAGAAAGCAAATGTGAGTCTCATTCTTTTCTCAGATTTCCTAGTCCCACACTGCGGTAGCAGTGAATAGCACTACTCACAATGTGGGCCAAGAAGTGTATTAAAGTATATAGGGTTGTCTCTGAAGCCAGTACAAGTTGAATCCATGGCTCTTTTTTTTCTGTCTTGTGGTAATAAAGTAACTGGAGACCAGATGATAAATAATGATGGAGGCAGACGGGTGTCTCTGTGGAGGCTTCTAGCCTGAACACATAACTGTACTTCCTCTGCTTCATGGTTGGTAGTTAGCTCTATATTTTGCATTTCTGTAGATTTCCGGTCCCTTGTGCTCTGATGGACTTAGGAGACTGTAAATTCACTTTACTGCAGTTGCTCTTAAACATTCCGAAAAACAGGCTGCTAATATGCCAGCAGGAAAATGCAGGTCAAATCCTCTCTCCAAGGGTGGTGTAGACTTTATGTGTTCATCTCAGAGGTTCTTGCCAAGTAGGATGATGGGACAGAGGAGTTGGAGAGCCGCAGTCATGATGGGGGAGTGTTGGTTTTGCCAAAGGGAGGAAACATTCATTTTTGACAATGGCTGCATCTGGAGATTATTACAAATGAAATGCTGACCCAAATTAAAAAATAAGAAGCAAGAGTTAATTATGAAATGTTTCAGGGAGACAGCTTTTCCAGTGGAATAGAATTTAAAAAGATAAAGCTATTTTTTAAAGATGAGACATTTTTCATTAAAAATTGTTTTAATTAAAGTACAGTAGATATACAATAGTATATGTTACAGGTGTACAATATAGTATTCACAATTTTTTAAAGTTACACTCAATTTATAGTTGTTATAAAATATTGGCTATTTCCCAGTGTTGTACAATATATCCTTGTAGCTTCTCTTATACATAATAGTTTGTACCTCTCACTCCCCTACACCTATATTGCTAGACATTATTTTCATTTTTAAAACTCTGCTTTTT